TGGTTTCCCTTTCGTGTGAATGATGTGTTCTTCTTTGGCTTTGGTGGATGAAAATATTTAGTTTTGTGTCATGGCGTTGCTTGCTAGTTTTGAGGCCCCAAACTATGATTCCCGAGTTGTCTTCGGGTGACTCTGATAAATGCAAGGCTTAAGCTGTTAGAGTCAACCCTCTCCCACAGTTGAGCTGATTTCGTTTCTTTCTCGAGGTGGACTAGCTTGAAACATGTGGGAGGACTTGGACAACCTATTTTCATGAGCTTTCCCCTTCTTGAGCGTCTACGTTTTAACCCTGGGACTATTTCGGTCTGTTCCCATTTCTTTTCTTATACTCCAGATATGACAGTTTCAATCACTTAAGAACGTGCGCTGTTAGTGGGGATAGTGACTCCTTAATCGTGGTACTTTAAAGATCCCTACGATGCCACGTGTTCCCCTCTTAAATGTGAAGGACGTGCATTAACTATGCCTGACAAAAATGATGGGCACATGTTGGTTGAGTTTATATATAGGCACTCTCTGGATATGATTGTCTTCTCCTTGCTTTGACACTTCTTATTCTCCCGCATTTTAAGAAAGACTGTTCGCCTTCCATTTTCATGGCCAGGGTCTCTTCTTCTCCACGCGACGTCATGGAACGGTTTTTCCCTGATGTTGAAGTTAGTGAAATAGACGAGGAAGGAGCTCACTCTATTGCCAGGTGCTTCGACTTTCCTCCTGGAGTAGTTGTGCGTCACGCCGATTTCACTGCTTGGTCTAGGGCAAGGCTTGCTTCTTTGAGACCCCTTTCTTGCTAGGGCTCCAGTTTCAACTTCCCTCCTTTATTTGAGTGGTTTTACACTTCTTCAGTTTCTGTCCCGCCATACTTCTTCCCGCGTCTTGGGCAGTCTTGTTGGCTTTCCCGGTAATGTGGGAAAGATTATTCCCCAAGTCTAGGGCCAAGGTGCCGGAGTTCCTTCACTTTTTTCATCTCAAGAAAGTGTCTGAGTTTTATCACTTCATCCCTAGACGAGGAAGGGAAATTTCTATCTCAAACCTTCCTCTAGAGCCAGAAGGGTGGAGGAAGAGGTATTTTTTTATTTATGGAGATGAGTGGGAATATGGTGCCTATTTCCCAGCCTCAATGAGGGTTTCCATGGAGTGGGGGCAACACAGGAATCTAGATGAGTTTATATTTGTTGGTCCGGCCTTGCGACACCCCTTTTTTTTTTTTTTGAGGTCACTCCTTCCTAATATTGCAGGTGAGCTACCACCATTGTCTGGCGAGGAGTTGAATCGGGTTAACTTGGTAAAAGCTCGCTTGCCTTTTTCTTATACTGAGCTGATGCATCCCGAGCTAGCCTCGGTGCCGAGTGGCCGTGAGTATCCGATATTCTGCCCTTGTTGCCTTGTTTTTAGTTTGTTTAGAAGCTCATTCCTTTCTTTGTTTTGCTTGTATAGTTCCTTCGTACTTGGTTACTCAATGGAGAGTGATCATAGAGCAACTGGGCCTAAGGAGGCGAGCCAGGAGTTCCGAGCCTCCAATGAAGAGAACTAGGTTGGGGGGAAGCGGCTCGAACCCGTCTCCAGGCACTGATGTTGGCCCCGAGGCTCCTAGTGTTGGTGGTGAAATGGTTATGAGTTTGTCGGCTTCTAAGCCTCTACCTATGGCCGGGGAGGCGTCGATACCTGAGCCGACATCCATAGCCATGACGGACAGAGTTGTGGCCAGTCTGGTAACAGGGCCGATTCGACGAGGCTCCTCTCATGCTAGAGTTGCTGGTTCCAGTAGGCCCGTGCTTCGCATGCTCTGGTAATCGACCTGAAAGGGAGTCTGCTGAGGGATATAGGTCTGAGTAGCTGCACACTGATGGAGTTGATCCCCCAAGCCGACTTGAGGCGTTCTGTGGATCTTCCCCTCTGAACTCGAAGTCGAGAAGCGCTTCATGCCTTTCTCGAGGTAAGTCCCGCCTTTCATTGTGTTGCTGCTTGTCTTTATTTCTATAATGTTATAGCCTTTTCTTTGTTTTCAGTCAGCGACACACGTCTGCGCACTTGGGAAAGAGATTTACATCTTGAGAAAAGAAGTTCAGCGAAGGGAGGCTGAGCTTCGAGAGGCATGCCAACGAAATTCTGAGCTCCTGAGTTGAGGTCTGGTTACTGAAAAGGAGTTGGAGCAAGTTCTTGATCAGCAGGCTCATGTCTCTAAGCAATTGATTGCCAGTACTTCTATCGAGATGTCTCTTCGGGGAGAGCTAGCTCGCTCAAGGGAGGACTTTGATGCCTGACTCGAAAACTTACTTAATTTTGCCATCACTTAGTCATTGCTGGTAGATCAGTTGAGAGAGTCCCAGGCTGCGACTGCTGAGCTGAGCAGCTCTCTGGTTGCCGAGTGTCAAGTGGTTAAGGATTAGCGAAAAGAGATCGAGAAATCCANAAGATCAAACACCAAACCAGTGTTGTCAAACAGGCCATCACCTTCTGGATTCAAAACCACATCTATAATGATCACTTTCCCGGTCTTCTCAGGTATTGCTTTACGACAGTTCTTCAATATCTTGACACAATGCTCGTCGCTCCAGTCGTGCAGTATCCACTGCATTGTTGAATTCAAAGAGTGTTGTAATTTTAGACTTAAAGGGAAAAGAAAAAAGGTCTCAAACATCAACCACACAAGGCCCTTTAAGAAATCTTTCGTTGAAGTTGAGTACTTTTGAGACTTGGAGCAAAGATAGATGTGGCCAGATGAAGATACTACGTCTACGCTCTAAGAATTGAAGTGGCTTCGGACAGTTTTTCTTCTATAATTTCAAAATCAGTCAATCGAATATTGATTAACTTGTAATCGATAAAAAAAAAAACTACCTAAAAACAACTATTCTAATTAGCAACGACATGTTTCAAATGTTTCTAGTAATTTTGGCTCCCCCTAGACATTGTGCCAACATAGCTTGATGGGATTTGGTTGAAAATAATTTATGAATATAAATTTTAGATTATTAACATTACGAATGACCAAACACCAGGGAAAAAAAAATTCAGGACAAGTCCCATCCACCAAACCACCACCATTGTTGAAATCCACCAATCAAAGTGAAAAGTGAGAGATGAAATACATTTAAGTGCAAGAAATGAGAGAGAGTGATAGGCCCTGGACTTTACATAAATGCAGTATAACAGTTGGTATGGTGCAGTTTAATGTGTCGACAATTTGTGGTGGCCTTTTTGTACTGGCGCACTGCTGATAAAAGTTCTTTTGCAATGCTTATTGTTTGCATCGTACTCTATGACTATCCAGTACATAATTAACAAACTGCAAATCAAGTGGAGAATAGCCACTAGACATCTATACCCTTACCTTCATGAAGACTGCATCAGCTTTAGGAATGGCGTCAAACATGTCGCCACCAACATGATAGACTCCATGGTACTCTGGTGCCGTCGCCACCACATGCGGCAAATCAAAGTTGATCACCTTGATATGCGGATAGGCCTTCACAATCTCCACCATCGCTGCAACTGTGCTGCCAACCACATCCACCACCAATTTCAGGCTGCGAAACCCATCTTCGTAACTCGAAATGATCGCCCTCAGAGTGATCTTCGCCGTACAAGCCATGCCTTCGTTGAACATCTTGTTGAATTCAGGATTGAGCGCTGCAAATTCCCATATCTCATGGCCATGAGCCTTCTGGAATGCAATCCCACCTGTTGGGGAAATTAGCATATGATTATACATATTGCAGTTACCAAATCAATTTCAAAATCACTAAACCAAACTACAAACCATGTATAATAACATCATAATATGTCATGAGCACAGTGAAATCAAGAATTGAAATTAGAAAGAGTTAGTTTGCGAGTCTAAAAAACGTGAAATCACTGCACTAAAATAGTTATGATTCCTTGTGTGGGAGGTATAGCTAAAATAGTTATAATGGATGTGTCGGGAAGGCTAAAATTCAGAATGAACCATGTTTATAGAGAAGCAAATTGCTTAGCTGATTTTTTTGCAAATCAGGCAGTAAGGGATGGCTTCTCTACAGATTTTTCTCAGGAGCTCAGAATCCCTTTGCATGCCAAACTGCTGCTGATTCAGGATCAACGAGGACTGCAGAAGTTGAGGAAGAAAATTGTTGTTCTTTGACTAGTGTATTTCTTCTTTCTCTTTTGATTGGATTGCGAATATGGCAGGATCTGTCTACCTATTCTTCTGTTGTAATTCATTTGAGCAATGAAATAAAATGTTGATTTGTTGTTTAAAAAAAAAAAGAAAGAGGTATTAATGGACATCAACTCGTACCAATAACTCCAAAATGATTACATTACTGAAAGATAAAGGTGAATCTTACTCAAAATAAGAAAGGAATTGGACGTAACATTTGGTGAGTTAAAGGATCGCATCATTAAACCATATTTGTAGCACCTCAAATTGATGCTAAACAAATAAGAAATTTTAAGTACAAGCATAAATATGAAATTGAAGTAGTCTATTATACCACAACCTTCTTTCACACAGCTGCTCAGGCAATGCCACGGTGCCACTGCCCATAGGTGGTTTTCCATGAGTAGTATCGGGGCGAGACTTAAATCCGTATCGTGTAGTAACCATTTGGAGGAGGGAGTGAGACTGTAGAGCGGCTCTCCTCCGTTGGATTGATAATTGACGGTGAAGATCTTCTTGAGGACTAGCAGTCTCATGATTCGGGCAAGGCAGGTGGTGTCCGGGGATGAAGAGGCAATGCCGGAGGCAATTTTGGACAAGGTGATCGGAGAGCCATGGGAGTGGCTTTCAAAGCCATTGAATCTGCAAAGTTGAACATGTATTGCCATATCTCTGCTTGACCTTGTAGCATGGCCTCAGAATCAATAGACTCCTCCTCTCCCATACTCTCTCTCTCTCTCTCTCTCTCTCTCTCTCTCTCTCTCTCTCTCACGCACACACACACGTACACAGGTAGAAGCTATCTAGCTAAACAGGTAACCAAGGCAATCAATAAATAGAGGAAGTGGGAGATTTTTGAATAAAAATTGGGTGTAATTAGTGGTGGTAAATGATTGGGTTGAGTTGGTTATGGATTGTTTTAAATTTGTTTAAGTTCAAATAAATTTACTCAATTTTTCACTCACGTATTAAATGGACTATAACCTATAAAATAATTAAAATTTTTAATAGACACATTAATACACCAAAACACACACATTAGTAATATACCAAAATATAAACATACACTAATATACCAAAACATATAAAATAATACACTAAAAACACACACACTAATCTATATCTATATATACTACTTCTAAATGTCAAGATCTAAGAACAACTTTTGAATGACTATTATACCCGTAAATAATTATATAAACACAACACTACTCTTCGGATCACCAATTAACAATTCTATTAATATTAGGAATTATGTCATTTGTACTCCATTGATAGTAGAAATGTGGGGGTGATTAGACATAATAGCACAATTATGTATTAAATTCAATAGATGCATTATATGCAATCTAATAGGGCATATCTATTAGTTGATGATTATTTTAGTTAATGTTTTTGCTGGCATCATACAATTTGAAATTATATTTGAGTGACACATAATCTAATCGAGTTCCTTCATTAAGGAAAATATCTTTTAGTTTTACGTAAATAATTGTCATTTTGGTTGTTGCAACTCTTCATCTCTTTAGTTAATGTTAGTCATTTCAATTCTTTAGATTCTTTTCCCAAATTTAGTAACTTTGTATATAGTTTAAAATCTGGCTCCTTATTCTTCCAATCTTCTGCTTCAACTTCGTCACCTGAACTCCTTGATCACTCATGCCCCTAGTATATGGGGAATGAAGATATTGAACCGTTATAACTCTGAAAACTGAAAGGAAAGAAAGACAGAGACGGAGAGTTTTCTCAGTGCTCTTTTCCTTTCAATTTGCAGACTCATTACAAGGTAGGATGGGTAATATGTTTCAAATCCTTGTGACTTTACACACACGCACTCACACACACACATATATATTCTATTATCAGAAATCCACACTTGCCAATAAATTTTTTGGGTATATCCTTGTGCATCCCTGTTAATGCAAGTATGGTTGTTATATATATACTAGCATGTAGACTACATGGTATCATATTCATGTCATGCTATTTTGAGTAAAAAAAAATTATTAATACTAACTTAATCTATTTTATTAAATGTGGCTCAGTGACACCTGGGGGGGTTATGTACAGATCGTTAGGGAATAACTATTTCTTCCCTTTAATTCATCCATCTTCCATCTATTATGGTCACTCAACCATGAAATAATATCGTCCTTCAAATTTTAGTATTTTTGTTTAGCTCTTTCATTTTTCGTTCAAATCTCATTAGTCAAAATATAAGCCACAACAAATGAACTTGCAAAATGATAACATAAAATGTTCACAACTAATAATTTAATATTATTCACGTGCAACTCATGTGTGCACCTACTATTACACTAAAACACACAATAAATACACAAACATATACTAATACAAAATTAAAACACACTTAATAAAAAAAATACACACACATAATGGGCGGGGGTCGATTGTGGGTAACATGTCGATCCATGAGTCATGGGTTGCAGGTCGACCGCATGATCATGGGTGGTGTATTTGTGTGTGTGTCTTTGGTATGCTAGTGTGTGTTTGTTTTGGTGTATTAGTATATATGTGTGTATTTTTTAGGGTAATAGTGTTTGTATTTTTTTGCATATTAGTATATTTATTTAATTTTATTACTTGCGTTATTTAATAGAAAAATAAATAATCCACCCAATGAATACCCATTTATAATCCATATTAACTTGTTTAATTAAAATGAATATATTACCCACCTTATTTAGAACCCACATTAATTAATATAGGTATCAAACTCATTTATTTATGGGCGGGTTGAATATATTAATGGATAATGGATTAAAATTGTCATCTCTAGGTATAACAGTAACAATACGTCGTCATTGTGATGTGGTGTTGTCATTCAATAAAAGGATAACAAATAAACAGTTGGATTTCACATATTCTAATAATCACCCTATAATGTTATTTAACAACCACTCAAGTGAGATTCATATTGTTCTTTTGCAGATTTGTTATTGCATGATGACACTATTATCAATGATGACATCGTGTTAATATTACACCTAATATTTACTTGAAATTTCTTGTGATAAAAAACTTAATTATTCCTATCAATTTAATTATGACAACTAAGTCCAATTTTTTTTAAAGTAATTTGAAAAATGCACTAATTTTCTTATCGTGTCCCTTGGTCCATTAGTTGTTAATTACAAAAATTCACGGGGTATGAAAAATTATGAATTTTAAACAAATACTAACTAAATGAGAAAACGAAAATAACAAATGTTTTCCCACAAATAATTAACGCGAATTGATGTCTAAAAAAACTCGAATTTAACGACGACATAGTTGAGCAAACCTTGATTACTTCGGAATAAATTATCAAAAATTTGACTAAATTGTGACAATAGAAATGACACTAATTTCTATCACAAAAAAAATATTTATTAAGTAGTGACTATTAAGTTAACCGCTAATCTCATCTATTGTACTTCCAAAAAATTCTATAACTAGTGTGTCACTTCTGTCTGGTTCATATTTGCGAAAGGATATTGAATTTTAGAACTTGAAGACTATATTTATGGAAGCAATGCATATAAGTTGACATAGTTTGCAATTTTAGATAATTTTTTTGTATTCGAGTGTATTGATCAGGGGCTGCAGGGCTTCCACAGGTTGTTTTTCCCCTTTGTCAAGCGATAACTCGTATTGTTAGGATGATGTAGCCGGGTTTAGGCCGCTCTCTACTAACTCCTTTTTTTTTTGGCAGGGAAAAGGTTAAGTACAGAGTAAAGAAAAAAATAAAATTAAGCTAGCTAATTCTTATACTAATTGGGTGTCTCCTAGAACATTGCTTCACTCAGTAAGTGTAGAATATAGTGATCAAGAAGGACACTTGCTGACTTGAGGACCAGTCCTCATCTTACTAGCTCGTGCGTTGTTGTTGTGTTTGTATCTACGTAAGCATGTATCATGCTTCAATTAAGATGATTCCTGAGAATTTGCTTCGGATCTTGGATTATTGCCCAGATCTGCCATGGAGTCTTTACATGTAGAAGCATGGTTACATGAATCACAGTATGGGAGTCGCTTTCAATGGTGATATAGTTCATATTTTGTCTTTCTGCCCAAAGAGCTGCATTTTTTCATTTCTAAGGCTTCTGCTATGAGAGGATTCATGCTTGATTTCAGAGGGACGTGTGCTCCTCTGACTGATCCATCATGCTCACACAACAGAGAGTCGATGTCCTCGAGGATTTTTAATTTATTCAGGAATTGGACTTGGTTCCTATATTGGTATAGTTTGGATACTTTAAACTTTCTATGCTCTAAATTTCTTTCTCTGACCGATCTTTTTTTTCTTCACAATAATCATTTGGTTACAAAAAAAGTAAAATAAAATGGTACAAGATACTTGACGGAAGTTCTTTGGGATTTTTTATCCTCTTTTAACGGATTTTTATGTTTACAGCTATCTATTGAGGTGGTATGAAATAAAAAAAAGATAATAATTCAAACTGAATATAGTGTAATTTACCCTTTGTCAGTTGGATAGGAATCAATATAGAATTAATTAGTGGATAAGAACTCACAAATAAAATATCCATGTACATGTCGAATTTAATTATACAACAAATTTTGACACTTACAACCGACGAATCCTACATGATATTTACCCAATACTAGGCTTAGTTGAAGTCATTATTAATTGAAAACTTCGTACAATCTTCTACATTTTATGAGTAATGATATATATTTCAAATTTATAAATCAAATTTAAATCACAAATCAAGGAGGATCATTGAATCAGTGAGTTCCATTTAAAAAAATTGATGGAACCCATTGAGCTAATAGTCCTTTTTGATTTGGAATTCAAATTTGAGTTACAAATTTGAGATACAAATTTTATCGAAGGAAAAGGAATTTACTATCAAATCTTTGACTTTATTGTCTCCTAGTTTTTCAGATGGAATCACGTGGGCAACACATAAGCACAAAACCCAACTTAATTCAGGATTAGTTCATAAGCACAACCTAACTAACACTGACTTTCTAGAATTGTTATCCATCATTCAACGGGAAATGGTAAAAGGTCTCACCTAATTTTCCAAATTAGTGTATTTATGGTCAAAATCAAGCTAATAAATCACCGATAAAAAAATAACAAGTGATACTAATTGCACCAAGAAAAAAAATTCAAAGTTAATCTAATTACCAATAAAAAATAACAATGACCAATAAAAAAAAGTGAAACAAATTGCACCAAAAAACAATATTCAAAATCAATTATAATTTTTTTTTCCAAGTTGTAGACATTTAAACCCAAGTAAATCACTAATAAAAAAAAAAATAACAAAACCAAATATTTGAGTAATTTTATAGAATGAAAAAATATTTGAACGCTAAATTTTTTTTTCCAGTTTATAGACATTCAAAATCAAGCTAATCACTAATA